GAAACCAATGCTGTACAATCAGAAAGCAGAGTAGAAAAAATAAAAGTAGCTGGCAATAGTTTTCCCTCAACATTCATTGCTCTCAAACACCAACTTCCACCATTTGCAGTCACGATTTTCTCACGCGTTAATCGAAAGGTTGAAGTTTGAAATATTTGGCATTGAACGATTCCCTAACAAGAAAAAAGGAGATAATGAAAGGATTCTTAACTGCCACCATAACGGGCAACAGGGAAAACCCGCTCTCGTGGCCCTCAGGGTCACTTCCCATTTGCCTTGTAAACGTCTATTCAGGTTAAATCTATTTCCTGTATGTTGAGTACATTATAAAACACGACCCTTGAATAACAGCACGAAATCTTTATTTGCGACTTCATGCCTAGTCAAGCTAGAGTCCACCAAGTCCAAACATTAAGGTCAGTTTTCGTCTTCTTTGATGAAATTTCATGGTCGTCTAACTGCTTCCCTTCGTTCGATTTATCTAATAGACTTGTGTTAATATTTGCCGGCCATTCCGACTCTTCGTCGTCAGAAAATAACTTAAATTATCCGCCATTTTTTTCGTAACTTCAATCCGATTCTTCCCTCACGCGATGCGAGAAAGCCTTTATAACCGGTGCGCTGGAGTACAAATACCTCAAGATATCTGTACTCGCATTGGGCGTTACTTGTACCCTACGGAGTGTAGTTGTATACTTAAACTGCATACTTACATCAACCTCATTTACGAGAAAACTAGTACTGATCGCCATTTCCAGCATAACAAAAGAACTAGGCTGATATCCAGCCATCTTGATCGAACAAGCTTAGTCAATAAAGGATCTGTTATGTAGCAATTCAAAAAGCCTCTGCTTTATTAAGAATTAAGAGGCTTGTTCGTGTCGAGAGACGAGAAACTGCTCCAAATCGTCAACGGGGACTGCCAGCGATTTGATGAACGATATCATTGATCGTAGATTCAGGTAACTTAACTTAACTTTGGCCCGTTTATTGTAAACATTTTACAATAAAAATCTGCGATAAAATATTGGAAAACATTACACGACGTTTCGACGTTTCCAGAGCGTCATTATCAAGTGAGAATAAAATAACAAAACTAAGTCACTTGATAAATTAAAACTAACTCACTTGATAATGACGTTCTGGAAACCTCAAAGCGTCGTATAATGTTTTCCAATATTTTATCGCAGATTTTTATTGTAAAATGTTTTAACAAATCTTTAATTTTCAAAAGCTGATATATATATATAGATAAAGAGTTTGTGATCCCACATAACAGACAAGAGTACTTGGCCTTAACATAACATTCCTCAAACGAAGTCACTCCTCTTCTGACCTACTACGAAAGTGCCGCGTTGTGCATTCACAAGACCATATGCCCTTAGGACAGGAGAAACTGTTTCTGTACCTGCCTCTCCAAGAACTAATAGATTCAGACACTTTTGCACCATAAAATACCAGAAACACGTTTAAAATACCGAATTACCATTCGTCCTAATACTCATATTATTTAATATTTACATAGTATTCAATATTTACATTTAATTGATATCTATCGTAGTTATATTTAGGTGTAACGTAGTTATATTTAGGTGTAACGTAGAAGTATTTGTAATTAATTACCTGCCTTGTAATTCAGTGTAGGCTGCAAAGAGGTTGCATAAACGATTATTATTATTATTATTATTATTATTATTATTATAACATCGTCAAATAATCATGAAACCTAAAGTTAGTCAAGTTTTTTTTGGTGATCACCTGATAAAGGTTTATTGAGGATTACAGCTTGTTTATGTCGGAATCCGGTTACAAAAAACTTACCGCTTAGCACAGCACAATTTCTCATCAATTATCTCTGATTTAGCATAACAATTACATCGTAATGTACTAAAATCATTGCGGTGCAACACACGGCTGCGATCTTTGTTTTCACGGCATTTTCAAACATTTTTGAACAGCAGTTTAAAAAATGTGTTCTCATGATTACTGCTGCCAAGTAAATCATTCACTGAAAATGTGTCATACAATTCAAGAATATAATAAAGAGAATGATCACAAAACTGATGCCACACGCTCTTTTTGCCAGACTACCGTTGAAATCCCTCCTAACATCTAGCCCTTGGCTAATAACGTTTTCGTTTTGTTTTGTTTTGTTTACATAAATTTCTTTATGGTAATAAACCGCTCAAAATCAGCCTCAAGAACTCAACGAAGCATTACAACAAATATTGCAGCGTGGTAATTACGTTTGTTTTGATTCAGAAATTTCTTCACGCAGAATGAATGATTGTTAATTGGCTGTCAAAGCATGTGACTCAAAATCGTAGAGTAATTACCACAATCTGTGTTCATATATTCATGCGTCTAAAACTATTCTAATGTTTTCTTTAACGAGTAGAACATGATGGTCCACTTGTCTCCTTCTCTTCTCTTATGACTCCAAGCCGATCCTTTGTTGCGCTTTTTTTTGTTTAATTGTTTAATTAATTGTTTTACCGTCGGCCTAGTGAAGCGTGTGGGCGGATGAGGTTAGGCAAACAAAAACACTCAATTGAGGCATAGGGTATTATATGGACTGGACTGGAATATTTTTTGGACGATTTTTTGGACTATTTTTGGACGATTTTTTGGACGATTTTTG